CCACGGCTGAAAGGGCGAGCATGTTTGGTGGGACGGGGATATAAGTAAGGGCATAAAGATATAAGGCATGATATAAAGATATAAACATAGCTACACAAAGACGCATTATAAATAATCTGCTCTTTCAAGCAACGTCAAACTTTCCGAAACGTAAGTAAAGGATTAGTTGATCTCGTGAACTTTAGATTTCTGCAAAGTGGCCAATCACAGTCTTATAATTTAGAAGATGTAATATATATTGTTTTAATAATTTGTAGCCTTATAGTAGAATTTCATAAACTGTTTACAGTTGCTTATATATATATCCATATCGTTTTAGTCAAACACATAAACACAACACATGTATGTAAACTGTAGTTATATATCATAGATAAGAGTGCCACGAATAATAGACTCAAGATCAGTCTTTTGAAGTGGAGATTTCAAATACGTACAACTAGCCTCATTGGCTTAAAGTGGATATTTCAAATACGTACAACTAGCCTCATTGGCTTAAAGTGGATATTTCAAATACGTACAACTAGCCTCATTGGCTTAAAGTGGTGTTTTGCAATATGCACAACTAACCTCATTGGCTTAAAGTGGAGATTTCAAATACGTACAACTAGCCTCATTGGCTTGAAATGGTGTTTTGCAATACGCACAACTAACCTCATTGGCTTAAAGTGGAGATTTCAAATACGCACAACTAACCTCATTGGCTTGAATAAAGCTTCTTCTCCGTTGTCGTATTCGATCACTAGCTTCAACTGGGTCCCGCCTTCTTTCTGTTCTAGAATAAACAAATAAATTTAAAATAAGTTTATTATATATAGCTAGAAGAGATTTTGGGGGTTGGGGGGTAGCTCCAATAATGCAATCAATATCCATGTTTTAAATTTGAGTTTTTCCCTAAAGAACGGTCCACAACTACAGAAGGGTCATGATTCCTGCAAGATGGCTGAACTCGGACACATAAAAGCAAACATGTTACACAAACAGTTTTTATTACTCATGACAAATATTGATTGACTACTGAGACACAATAAACAAGAATGTTTGATTGTTCACTTCTGGTGAAAATGTCTTTAGGTTTTATAACATGATTGACTACTGAGACACAATAAACAAGAATGTTTGATTTTTCACTTCTGGTGAAAATGTCTTTAGGTTTTATAACATGATTGACTACTGAGACACAATAAACAAGAATGTTTGATTGTTCACTTCTGGTGAAAATATCTTTAGGTTTTATAACATGATTGACTACTGAGACACAATAAACAAGAATGTTTGATTGTTCACTTCTGGTGAAAATGTCTTTAGGTTTTATAACACTAGCATGATGGGATGAAGTAGTGGGTTCTTGTAAGATGTAACACTAACATGATGGGATGAAATAGTGGGTTCTTGTAAGATGTAACATTAACATGATGGGATTAAATAGTGGGTTTTTGTAAGATGTAACATTAACATGATGGGATTAAGTAGTGGGTTCTTGTAAGATGTAACACTAACATGATGGAATGAAATAGTGGGTCTTTGTAAGATGTAACCCTAAAATGATGGGATTAAGTAGTGGGTTCTTGTAAGATGTAACACTAACATGATGGGATGAAATAGTGGGTCTTTGTAAGATGTAACCCTAAAATGATGGGATGAAGTAGTGGGTTCTTGTAAGATGTAACATTAACATGATGGGATTAAATAGTGGGTTTTTGTTAGATGTAACATTAACATGATGGGATTAAGTAGTGGGTTCTTGTAAGATGTAACATTAACATGATGGGATTAAATAGTGGGTTTTTGTAAGATGTAACATTAACATGATGGAACGAAGTGGTGGGTTCTTGTAAGATGTAACCCTAAAATGATGGGATGAAGTAGTGGGATTTTGTAAGATGTAACATTAACATGATGGAACGAAGTGGTGGGTTCTTGTAAGATGTAACCCTAAAATGATGGGATGAAGTAGTGGGTTCTTGTAAGATGTAACACTAACATGATGCCCCCCCCCC